TATACGACGAAAGCAATTCTTAAAAGATAAATTTCAAATATTAGAAAAAGGATATAATGAATGGATATTGGATTATACTCTGTGAAATGTATAGGGATAGTATTTTTTAGAAATTCTTGACGCCATGTTTTGACGTTACAGTTCCGTTAAGTGTGCTCCGCGGGTACAAAGCATGTCGATTTTAAACTGAAGTAAATTGATTTCTGTTAAATCGAATGAAATGAAACTTCACACATCAACAAAACAAATATTTTAACATATTAGATTGTACTTATTTTAAATTTCTAGTGAGTAATATAAATTAGACTGACATCGTCCACGAACTTTTCGAACAACCCTGGTATTGGCAAATGTTTTGTGAGTTTAATCCTCTTAATGACATCTGGAAAGAAAAAACATGTAGACAAAATGAACTGAAAAGATAAAGATCAAATACTTGAAACAATTACCAGTATGTTTTTATTTTCAGATAAAGAATGACTAGCCTGAGTTTGAGTTTAGCGTCTCTAAATGGTGAGAAAGAAGAACAGTTTCTAGAGCATTATTTTTCTCACGTCAGTCACTGTGAACATGACAAAGCCAGGGAACTTGCAGTAAGTTTTCTTGCATCTTGATGTATAATTCTAGTAATAATTTTATAACATTTCTTTAAAATCCCCCTTTTCATCTTTTTTTTTATCAATGCTAATTAATTGCATTTAATTGGATATTTTTTTATAACAGGAGAAGGAGAGAGATGCTTACAAGGCAATGTTTGGTTCCTCCTGGGCCATGTTCTTACTTTCACTTTCACAGTTTGCCACAGCAGAGAAAACTTACATGTCACTGGGATTTTTAGAACAGAAGAGCTTCTTTACAAGATCAAAAGATGCAAGTAATTTTACAGTGATTTATTAAATACATTGTTCAATAGATGAATCATGTTAGACGTTAAGAATTGATATAAATATGAAAATCTACCAGTTCTCCGAAAAATCTCTTACCTGTTAAAAGTAAGACTGACATCTAGCATGTGTAGATACATATGTAATAGAGAATGTGTTAATATTTTATCAAAAATGATGTCTTTTTATAATTTAAAGTAAATACTTAAAAAAAAAAAAATTAAATACCCCCCGGTACATGTACTGGTATAACGTTTTGTCATGATTTAGAGAATTAAAGACCATATTTGTGTTAATTGCAGACACTGAAGAGCTGTTATCAGACCCTGATGCACGATTTCAGACGCGTTGAGGAGGCTGTGAAATCCACAGAGGAACAAGGATTTGGAATGTCCAGCAATGCGATCGAATTGGAGAGAAGTTACTGGCCCATCTTTGTGATCAGCTGTGCTTCTTCACACAGGCCAGACAGGAGACAATCAATTTGTATCCTATATAAAACTACTTTAATAGCTCAGACCTGTCACTAATCTTTTCCATCAGAAATTTTCCTTTCTCTCTTCCAGGATCCCCTTTGAACTAAGAGATGGGTCCAAACCTTCAAAATCCTTAATCTTCCTTTTTTCGCCAGGATATCCAGCATGCAAACATAATTGCAATAAGATAGAGGAGTCTTAAACCAAATCATGGAATTTAAGTTTCTAGGGTTCAGGTACAGGGTGGGGTGAGGAAGGTCTTATGCTTTTAAATGCAATTTGTTTTTAAAACCCCTCTATTCCTGAACATCTAGGTTATAAGATTAATACATGCAGATAGTGTACATGTAACATGATCATAGAATCCTCACTCTTCTTGAATTGTGATATGGCACTTGAATCCAGAGTTCAAGTTCAAGGTGGGTTAAGTTGGTCAAAATATGTAAAAACATTATGGTTCTTTCTCAGATGCCCATGGCAACTTGTGTAAGTAAGAGAAGAAACCCTGAGACTCCCAAAGAGTTGAGATATCAAGGTTAAAATAAATACCCTGTAGTGATTCAAAGTATGAATTCAAGATATCAATGTTTAGGATACCAAAGATTGAGCTGTATCGCAGAAGTTCCTTGACAGAGTGGACTAGCTATGAACAAGTTCACATCATGGGAATGACAAAGCATATCAACTTTGAAGATCTTAACATGGTTGTCAAGGAAATTATAGCAGGACACAACAAGAATTTTCATCATCCAATTTTAGCACCTCTCAAAACTGTGTTTGGGTAAGTCAGTGAATTGTTGGATATTTTAGATCTTGTGAATATTGAGATCTTACACCATTGATTTTATGAAATACCAGTTATAAGCCAAAGGTTCCAAAAGCCAGCTCAATGGTTTTATAATTATTCTTCTGCTTACAACTTAAACATTTAAGTTTGTACAAAACCAAAGTGTCTGAATGTCTGGAACACCGTGAAGTCTAAAATAATCAAACTTTGTCAGTTAATGATCAGTTGATGTGTCTTCTAGCTGGCACACCGTGAAGCCTAAAATATTCAGACTTTATCAGTAAATAATCAGTTGATGTTCAGTTGAGGTGTCTTTGGGATGATCTGTCTACTGTTGCCATTCTTACCCACTGGATGTTCATGTGTCTTTGTCATAGTCTGACCATATTCAAAGTTAAAGATCTTGTTCATGTAACATCATTTTCATTTCTTGAAATCAACGTACATATATTTTTCTAAACTTAATTAGAATATATTTTTCTATATGTTTTTTCTAGGTATGAGTGTGATACATTAAACCATTTACTGGTTGCCCAGACAATGATGTCTGACTGGAAGTTTCTGATGGCCCTGTTACACATTCATGAAGCCCACACAAAACTGACCAGCTGGGCTACATTAATTCACCCTAAGGAGGTAAGCTCATGTATGTTACACATTCATGAAGCCCACACAAAGCTGACAAGCTGGGCTACCTTAATCCATCCTAAGGAGGTGAGTTTATGTCTGTTTTATAACTACTTAGAAAAAAAAACTGTTCAAAATTGCAACAAGTTATCCAAATTATTAAGGGAGAACGCTGTGACTCAACACTAAAGTGGACTCAACCATTGATGGTTCTGTACATGAGGGTATATAATAAAATACCAAGATTTTTAATGATAGAATTTATAGATATTTTTTTATCATAAAAGAACAATTGCCAGATGATATTATCTATGTACATGTATCACTTGATTATAACAGAGTAAGAAATCAGCTTTTGGAGGCTCCAGTAAACATGGCTCCCTGCCTGCCCTTTATCAGTGGCTGAGTAAATTCAAAAACCTGCTGCTCTCTAAAGTGAGTCTACTTTCTACGATTTCCATAACTCTGTCTGTAAATAAAACTTTGATATATTTATTTTCTAAACTGTTGTCTTAGTATCTGAGTAATGAGTTTACTACTACTGTTGATGACACTAATTTCAATTGTGAGTATCGCACTGCTATCATTTCAGTTCAGTATCTACTTTTACGACATCCTACAAAGGCAGGCCTCTCCCCCGGAAATGAAATCGTTGATCAGTAAAACTCCTGATGATTTTGTCACAAGGTAATAGAGAGGATGAGATCATATTTATATAATTATATTACATTGTGAATCAAATAATAAATGTTCAGTTCTCAAGTATAAAGATGATTATTAAATCAAGTTCTCAATTTGTAATTCTTTTGTGGTTGTGTTTTTGCTATTTTGATGGATGAATGAAATTTTTGAAAATATTGTAGTGTAATAAACATACTTGTTCACATAAGCATATGGTGAAACTATATGTTGTTCAGTAAAACTAATGGGTATTGGTGACTTCAAATTGTAGCAAGAACAGATTCTGTATAGAAATGAAAACTGATACAAATTAAAGATGTATCTGAATTCAGATATTATATTGATTGTTGACATTTTGATTTGGTTTCAGAATACAGACATTTCACAAGAAGTCTGATGCCTGTCATGTCTCCCTGGTTCTGAACACTCAGGGACTCGAGCGAGTTTTCCCCGGGGGATATCAGTACCCAGGGAGACTGGTGGAAACACCCCAGGGACTGGACACTTTTCCTGCCATTTTTTCCTACCCAGGGGTATGTCTAAGTTAGCTAAACTTAATTAAAAAAAATAATTAGTTAAAATGTAGTCATGCTCAGGCATAGTTAGAGGGATACCTGTCCATAAAATTCATAATTTTCCTCTATGAACGCTAAACATAGGAAAAAGTTGGAATGGCATAAAGAATGTGAAATCTGAGAGACAGGCACTGCTTTATGCACTGTTTGAGTATGGTCAGGGAGGAGAGAGGATAAAAGACAAATTTGCACTGTGTATTAGAACATGGCTTTCTGATAAGATTGGTGAATTAATCACACCTATGTTATAGTGTTATTGCTCTGTGTTTCAGGATATTTCAATCATTTTCCTGTGGTGGTGATGACCACGCCTCTGTAATAGTGTTACTTGATCTATTCATTTCAGGATAGACCTGCCAATCATTTTCCCGCTGTGGTGATGATGTTGACGGAGGGACGTGACAGGGAGGAGCCAGCCGTGTATGCCCAGGACAAGATACACTACATGTACGACAAGGGGTCGCACTCCTCCTACTTCTACACACAGGTCGATACAAGGATTAGTCTGGTCGTTATATTCGAGAGCAAGAAATCAGAGAAAGACTCCTACGTGAATAACTTTATGACTGAATTAGCCACTCACTTAAGGTGTACAAAATTCTTTACTTCCTTAAAGCCAGGCTTTAAGTGAAATATATAGATTATGTTTTTGTCATACTAGTATTTCGATGCCAAAATATTTTTCACAATAAAAATGTGCAATATTTATCTCATAAAAAATAAATACATGAGTATTTTGAAAATGATTTATCTTTATTTATAAGCATCAGAAAACTCAGAACAGAGACAAATTATTTATTCCTGTCGCAGCTATAATTAATAGAAGTGCTGTTTATCCATGTATTTGCCTGTTCCTTTCATCTCATTTTATTCTCTCACACCATTTATGTCATGGTACATATTAGGTATATGTCAGAGGTACAAAAAATATATTATTTCTGTCACGAAACATGAATAAAATGTAATTTAATTATTGCCAAGAAAATCAAACAAAATGGATTAGTTTAAGTATTTACAACTTGTTTTTGAATTTGTTATAAAACGTACAATGTATTGAAGTAAAAATAAAAGTTAAACCAGATATCTACATGTAAAAATATAATTCGAGAACACTGTTGAAAAAAAACAAAAGTCGAGCGTCTGAGAAGTTCTATAAATTAACTTCCTTGTATGAGACTTCCGCTTCCTGTGACGTCTGCAGCACCTGTTGTCCTAGTAATTTGACGGTCTCCTCATCCCCTCGTCTGCGACAGCATAGATACAGCATATTGATGGACACCAGGAGAACCATTAGTGTGGCCCACTGAAAAGAAAGATCACTCGGAATCAGGAGGAGAGAAGGGATGCTAACAAATCATATTTCTGTACGTTTTACATGGATTTGATAGCACCCGTTAGAGATGGTAGATAGTTTGTAACACAATTTTTATGTATTTATAACTGAGATTTTGTACCTGTACTACAGTGATGACCAGTGTTTCCCTCCCGAATTCGTACCATTCCTCCCCATCCCCTGAGTCTCCATCAATCAGATCATACGCCCACCATCCGATAATGAACAGTGCTTCTAAAGGGGCGATTATTCTAAAATACATTCAAGGTAATATATGTTGTGTGACTTGGAAGGAAATCAGCTTCAACAATAACTACAGTATAAGAGGTAAAGGGCTCCGCTCTGGTAATTGTCTGTTTCACCTCTGCCATGCCTAAATGTACGGTGTGCCTCATATTATTTTCAAGGATGGTCTAGCGAAGTTGACACAAACACTGTAAGTGTAACAAAAAAATTCCAAAATAAATTCTTACTTGACAATCCATTCCCACACACGCGGGAGTTTCCAGTCTCCAATACTATAGCTGTTAAACATATTTTGTCGAAACTTTCTGGTTCCGTAAATAACCACCATTAGTTGTAGAAAGAATCCATTGATGACAAGAGCAAATCCCCAGACAAAGTCCTATCATGGGAATAAATAAAAGGGTGTTCGAATCGTTTGTGACTTGTGACGTCAGAATGACAAGTGCGGATTAATTGAACCACATGTCTAAGGAAAACCTTACCTGATTGGTCAAAATATCTAAGTTGAGGGCGGAAGCTAGTCCTCCTAGAAATACTAATGTTACCGTACAGGGCATGCCGAATTTCCTGGGAACTGAAAGTTCAAACAGCAGACCAAAGATTAGCTTTCGAACACAGACATGCAGGAGGAGTAACGTTCTGATATTCTCACTAAATTCAATTTTTTTTTACCCCCAAAGTCGTATAAGGTGTGTGTGACCATTTCCATGTTTGCTACCAGAGAAGTGATGCCAGCCATAGACAGACAAGCGAAGAATAGCACACAAAGAACTCGACCAAACACGCCGATCGTGGAAAACAAAACAGGGATCCTAATAATGAAAAGGTTTGTTTAATTTCATAGAATTCAATTATTTATTAAAGTAAGTTCAAATATTTCTTTTTAGATTGTGATTCAATTGAATCACAAGCTCACATTTTCTCTATTTTAGCCACTTGTTTGATAAGGGAAAAGCTTTATGGAGTATCATAATCTTGCAAGACAACATTCATGTACCACTGATTAATACTAGTATCGTTGTTCACACTGTCAATGGGTTGCATTGACAAACTTTCACTTGGATTAACT